TGATTCCAAAAATAAATGTTCTACTTATAATGGGAACGATAAAGTATAACGTGGTGTAACTTTGAGACTGTTTGAGAGTATATTTGCTGGCTTTGTTTAAAGTGAACTGTGTAAGATGATGGCATTAGTGACAGACCAGTAGTAGGCCTATTCGCTAACTGGTTTTTACTGATGAAATTGATCACCGAGCTATTTATTGATCCACCGCTGCTTTATCATAACGCGACTAAGATACTTGTCCTGAAAAGCAGAGATGGATACGCAATTTTCTCTTTAGTTACACACTGTAAATGCCAAAAAAGTTAGCGAATAAGCCGGCAGACATAAAATAATGACCTTAACTTTATATTATTAAAACAAAAACAAATGAAATTTATATATGCAGAATAGGCTTTTTTGGCAGAATGTAAGAGAAGTAGGGCACAGACAATAATGGGTTAAAATTGGAACGTCCTTTTAGAGAATTTGCCTATAACGAGAGAGCGGGGCATATCCCATCATGTGGTGCAGTGCGGATTATTGGATTATATTATTATATAAAACAAGTTTCAACGGTATAGATGCACTGATATATTTATGTATTGACGTATCGTCGTCGTCTGAATAATGATTATTTATTCATTATTCAGACGACGCATTGTTTGTTGTTTTATTTAATGAGTGGTGTGCGTCATAACTTATGAAAAACAAATATATTATTATAGTTTGGTAATCAAACCAGTGCAGAGGCAGCCGGGACTGACGTTTGAATAGTATACGGTAAGAATAGGAGTTGTGCACGATTGTACGAGCCTGTTTAGAATGGAGATAAGTCACTGGCCGGCTTACTGATACGGACGGCGGATTTTTTAGTAGTTAACCATGTAACTTTAGACTACACTACCAAACGATTCAGTTACCTACCAATGGGCAATGCCAGACTTTAAATTATACAAGAATACATACAATTCGTCCCAAGTACTTACCAGACGTAAATATTCTGGTAAACTTTAGGTGAACCAACAATAATATTTCTGGTAAAACTTTAGATTAAAAAATATCTATCTCGATTCTGGCTTAAACCGTAAGCCATGTTATTGCAGCAATTTTAGTGTAAAAAAGGGGAACTAGTCATAAAGGCCCGTATTACAAAATGACAACTAGTGTTGATCTTTACTTGAGTACAGTTAGAAAGGGATGTCGCTATCGCTATATGCTATATGTATATAGCGACATCCCTTTCTATCTATGCTCAAGACTAGATTCATTACTGAGAATCTTTCTATAATACGGACCTAAGTGTAATTGCAATATATAGATACGCTAATCGGTTGTTAATACGAAGTAAATATAAACTAATTAATTTTGATAAATCCTAATAATAAGAACACGGATCGAGCACGTATAAGATATAAAAATGTTACATATACCATATATTTGATTTGATCATATCTCTTGATTAGAGTTCAATTGAGTTCTTAGATAAGAAAAATTAAATAGATAATTGTATTGAAAAAATCCAGTTGTTCCAGGTTTTAGATGGGATCTTTAGATTCAAACATATAGCAGTTGAATATATGTATACTCTTTTTATTTATTTATTTATTTGGTCGCCAACAAAGTTACATTTAGACATTTCTTATTTACACATTTATATTAAGTTACTTTATTAGTGGAACTTTAATTATAGGCAATTACGACATGCAATATACATACACTTAACTAGCAATTAAATCTTATGAAAATTTGATAATAACATTATTTTAATACAATAATTATTTTTAAACAATAATATTATTAATAGTTTTTTTTAAATTATACTATTTATATTAAAGTGAGTGAATTCGAAACACAATTTTATTTACAATTAAAAAAAAACATTTTTCTTAAAAAAAATACGTTTATAGGTGGTACTGGGGGCGGATTGTTAGCATTTGGCTAGAGGTAAAAAAGTTAGCGTTCCTGTACTAAGGGTACGAGTTTTATATATTTACGAAAACGATGATAGTTTTTGTGAGCTCGCACTCGTACTAAGGGTACTGATTTTATTGTTTTCGTTTCAATACAAATAAACAGTGTTTAAATTCTATCATTAAATCATTTGCGTCTTCTTAAATTTTATGTATATTTGGTTACTATTCACCAAAATGAACATAGAAACATAATTTACAATTTCGAAAACTATGATAGTTTTCGTGAGTTCAAACTCGTAGATACTAAGGATACTGACTGTCCCTAACTTACTTTTGCGTTAACGCTTTTATCTGTGGCATGAGGGTTGTAGTTACACTCTTGTCGGTCTTTTGCAAACTGGCCTATTTATTATTCCGAAGCAGTGGGAAGGGATAAAGTAATACTATGTATGGAGTATGTAAAAGCGCTTTTTATAAGCCTATTTGCAAAAATAAAAGACTTACTTTTTAACTTCGTCGGATCATGTTCTACTACTTCTCTACGACGAAATTAAAAACTATGTTATTTGGAGTAGTATGGATGACGTGACGATTACAATTCATTAAAACATTGCTGTCTATTCTGGCATGATTCTCGAAACCTAAACTTAAATCTGACAGCAGTGTATCCTTGTCATTCTCTATAAAGAATAAAAAGGACAGACTGATGTTATATTTACCTTTGAGTTTAGAGAATTTTGCCAGAATCCACCATTTTAAGTCAACAACAAAAGGACTTCAACATATTTTATGTTGTCACCTTTAGTAACTGAAATTTTATTACTTAGATAAAAACTAAAGAAAATTATTAGGTACCTACCTATTACAAAAATGCATATACCTATAATAGAAGATAATACTATCTGCCCAGGCCTCATTGAATTTTAATTACTGTATCTGACGACCTCGTCCAAATATATCAATTAACATTTAAGTTTCGGCTGTCACTCTTATTGAAATATAAATGGAATGAGTTAACACATGAGTAGTAAAGCATTTATTAATGTCTCTGGGTCCTTCCATGATGATAATCTGTGGCATGGAAAGGCAGTTCTGTCTGTGTATCACAAATTCCATAGTTCCATAGTAGGTAGACGTGTGTCGTCACTCTGTCGCAGATGTGGAGTTAGATCTGTGTGCTTCGCATAATGATCAGCGTAAGCGCAGAAACAAATTTCCTTCTTAACAGAGCAGACATTTTAATTCCGTCGATTTTTATTGTATTTTTTTCGAGTTAGATATAAAACATTTTAAAAAGTAAAACCTAATAAATTGTGGTAGATTTGATTCTAACATAAAATGCAACGCTTCCAAAATTGAGAATGCGAAATTTTGACAAGAGAGCCGTGGCAAGATAAATATCTAGTAGCCCTCGAGCACGATACAGACCGATCAGATAAGTTAGTGTCAATCAGCTGGATGTGTTTTGTGCGCCCGCTCAACCTTCTACAGAGCCAAGGTCAACACCCGTGAGACCTTGCCCCTTGTAGCGGTATAATATAAGAGCCAGAAAAGCGCAAAAAGCCTTTTTATTTAATTTTACATTATTTTATTAGAGAAAGTCAGAAGAAAGAGAAACTTTATCCCCCTTTTCAAACTGATATTGCACACGAAGGAGTGTGAGAGCTAATAATTTCTATGGACTGATGCAATTAGCGCCCACAAGACGACAAAAGGTTTGATTAAAACACGTTAATTTTGGTTTGACACAATAAACCATTTTGATCGTTAACAAAGCTAGCTTGCACGATTTATCAAATATTAACGTGATTGGAGCATGTTTGATGATGTTTTTGCTATTTTTGTCGTGCCCTTTGATTATTTCTTTATCCCTTTCTGTGTAAAAACGCAAGACATAAACGTAATAAATACGAGGAAATCGCGATCCTAGTTCGTGGACATCTCACTATTTGACTGCGTCACAATCACAAGTCTAATTATGTCGGCGTACCGATTCCAATACACGCAGTGCCTTTTGACAAACCGACATCAAACGGTTTCATCAAACGCGAACCCCCTTATTAATAAACGAAAACTACGCTTGGATTAGTAACTCCATGTTTTGTCTCTGTCTATTAAATGACAAATATCATTTGAGTGACATGAATAAAACACGGCGTAACTAGTCTTACCTTATTCCTTGTTTATTAATAGAGACTGCCAGACTGTTTGATTTAAACCTTACCCAGTCACTCGCACATAGGTTGTCGTGGGCTTTTTTACAGAACTTTTAAAGGGAAAGAATTCCGTCCTACATGATTTGTGTGTAACTTTAACCGTTTACCCAGCGCACGCAACGGAATGTCACAAATGGAATATTTTTACCCGTTTTTGCAACATTTTTCATCGATGCTCCGCTGCTACTGGTCAATAGCCTGGTAATAGGCCTATAGCCTTCCTCGATAAATGCACTGTCCAATACAAAAATAATTTTTCAATTTGGAACAACAGAGCAATGTTGCATTCGGTACAACGGGTCCTAAACTACGCAACGATTTTTTTACTTGGAATGGAAGGTTTATAATTATTATGAAGAAGGTCATTGTGTATAATACAAGCCTTTGAACAAAAACTATAGTCTACAATACAGCTCTACACCGAAGCAAAGCGAGGGCGGGCCACTAGTATAACTATAAAACATCACAGTGTACACTATTCACGTTTTCTCCGCGTGTTGAAATCATGAACGTATTCAGTTTTTTTTATATTGCCAGCAGCTACCTTCTGATAGTGGTTCGCTTGTTTATCAGACATATGTCGTACGAAAGTGACGAAATTATCAACTTCAAAAAAGTCTTATCAACTAAGTAAGTATTCAATTTCAAGACACAGAGTGATATTTCTATCAAAGCATCTGAAATTTACGAAATCATCATTATATTATCTCAATTTAAATTTCTAAGAAATTAGGGTATCCTTTTGACTCTACAGTTAAAGCCCTCTAAAGTAAAGCCACATAGAATATAACATCCCAGAAGCTAAAAGTATAGATTAAATGTCTTTACCTACCTACCCCTCTAGAAACATACGTGCCTTATAGTTTATATGTAAAACACAGAATCGACTCACCTATGTGTCCTGTATGTTGAAAATTCGTTGGTGCACCGATCATGGATCTGTCTATCCTTCGGCGCGTGCGCTGCGCCTGTGCCGCTGGCTGGTAGCAGCAGGCGAACCACTGCAGCCAGATCTCACTGCCGGTGCTGGCCATTGTGTTAATTAAAAAAAAAGTTTATTTCACTAAAAAGTCCACACTTCACTAAACCACAGCAAGAACCCGAAAGCGGGCTCGGCTAACTTTAAACTTTTTTGAATTTTGGAATTAGAAGATTTTCGTATTTTAATTTTTGAATTAGAAATAAGATTATTTAGGAACAATTTTGGGGACGGTAGGAACGTTTGGTGATCCTTTCTTGTTTAAATTGACGACCGCACTAGGCACTTGTATCTTCCCTTGTGTGCTAAGAGTAAGGTGTCTCGAGCTTAAATGACGTCGTGCGATGATCTCCAAATCGATAATGATGATGGCATGATTCCTCCGATAAGATCTGTAACGAAAAAAAAACATTTGGAGATAAATTCCGAGAAAAAGTAGTTTGTTTTCATTATAGCAAAAAGTTTTGTAAACAATTCGTCAACTAATGAAGGTTCGAGTAAATACACTTAATGTACAAAATACTGGAGCAAAGTTGCTAATGTTTTGTAAGTTTGTAATTAGCTAAGTATCTGAGGTTCGTTAACGTCCTTATTTATTTAATTGAATTGTAAATAAAAAACAGAAACCAACTTGTTACTTATTTCCTGGTTTTTATTGTTAAATAACTTTAATTTTAATAGTGTTTTTTTAAATTTTTAATTTATTTATCAGGGTTTGATAGTCAGTTACATAGACAATTAGATGTTATTCTGTCAAAAAAAGTAAATTTCAGATTATATTCATCGATGATTAATTTTTAATTGATTATTTAGACACAGTGGATTACTCGCTTGAAGTTACTACACAATACTACATATACATACATACAATTACTGCATTAGTTTTTTCTCCCAGACCAAGTGGGCAATAGCAATTATATTATGTATAATTGCTATTTCTTCTTTTAAATATTAAATACTTGTAGAGGTATTCATTTGACATTGTGGTTTACTTACAATGCGAAGAGATGGCGCTGCCTTGCAGTCTTAGAAATACTAGAGAAAGTTCAACACAGCCACCAGGCCCGCGATAGCATAATCGCAGGTCAGTGCATTCACCCTGATAGCGAAGGGTGCGGGTTCAAGTTCCGGCTGCTGCCTGGTCCGCGTGGATTTTTTTTAGTAGTTAAAAATTTCTTTAGATTTAAAAACTTATGCAGTTGAATAACATAAATAGTAATCTTCCAAAGCTCCACGTTTTAGGTAATAGACAGGACAGGTACCACGCTCATATCGCATGTGGTTATAAGCTTTTGTGAAGTCTATTATTAAATAAACATGTTTGCAAAGTATCTTTATATGGTCTAGGTAATCTAGGGCTGCTATAATACATACATCTATAATAACTGTATTAGTTTTTCTTTAATAAGGTAGAGTTATTTCTCCCAGACGGTTGCTCAACTTCAAGCGAGAAATCCACTGTGTCTAAATAATCAGTTAAAAATTAATCATCGATGATTAAAATCTGGAATTTACTTTTTTTGACAGAATAACATCTAATTGTCTATGTAACTGACTATCAAACCCTGATAAATAAATTAAAAATTTAAAAAAACACTATTAAAATTAAAGTTATTTAACAATAAAAACCAGGAAATAAGTAACAAGTTGGTTTCTGTTTTTTATTTACAATTCAATTAAATAAATAAGGACGTTAACGAAGCTCAGATACTTAGCTAATTACAAACTTATGTAACTGACTACGGTAAAATAACATTTCCATTACTTTTTACTCGTGTTTGGAACATACGCACCGAGTTATATACTTAAAATTTTGTCTAACTGTTTCATTGCATACACTATAAAAAAATTATATCATGACATTCTTAGAAACATTATAATGTGAGGTCAACATGCATTTTAATATTGTTTTTTTAACAAGAAGAAAAAACTATAAACGTAACTAAACAAGTTACAAACAAGTAGTCAAGTAAAATAAAGTGTACCGGTGCGGTGTTACAACACTGAAAATAAAATTACAATCTTATTTCTGTTTTTGCAACAATTTTTAGGTAGACAACTTTATTGAGTAATTTGGTTGCAGCAAGAATTTCACTAGGAATTTTAAATTAAATAATAACCAGTATCGGCGTGATCTTTGATTGATTCGTAACTAATTCGTAAGCTTAAGCTTTTGTTCTCAGAACAATGGCATTCCTAGGTTTTTTTGCAGTATTTGAATTGTGTACATCAGTAAGTCTTTTAGTATTCACATATTATTAGTTACTAGTAGGTTCCCGCGACTTCGTCTGCACGGAAAATGGTTTTCCATACAAACTTCCATAACCTTTTTACCCACTTAAATAATAATTTCTGGGATAAAAACTATTCTATGTCCGTTCCTGGGACTCAAACTATCTCCGTATCTCATTTCATCTGAATCGATTCAGCGGTTTAAGCGTGAAGAGTTAAGAAAGACACTTTCGCATTTATAATATTAGTATGAATTATAAAAGTGAGTTTGTAATGAAATCTCACAAAAAACGGCTACACGGATTTGGATGAAAATTGGCACACAGATAGTTCCATACATCAAGTTGACAGAGTGCTTTTAATAATGTATAAAATTCAGGTACAAAAACCTTTTTAAAAACAAGCTTTTATTCAAATGCGCTAAAAAGAAAAAAAGAAAATTTAGTTAAAGTTTGTTTCTAAATAGATTTTCAAATTTTAGAAGTCCGCCATATTGGATTGAGGGTGACGTCACATTTTTTTCGAGTTACTCTCAGCAAGCCCTTTAATTTGATACCCATATTGTAGGAATGCATTAAAAATGATTGGTCCGCCATTTTGGGTATGCCGCCATATTGGATTTAGAATGACGTCACACTATTAAGCATGCATTGTCATCCGAACTGAACGAGCATACCAAATTTCAGCTTAATCGGTTGAGGGCAAGTGCTTTAAAATTGAGTTGTAAGATTTGACCGTAACAAACATACATAGCAAGTTAAATAAAAGCTTGTAAAAAGCTTTAGGTTTTGTGGGTAAAAGTCGGTAAAATACATACTGTAATAAATTAGATATCAATCCAAGAGCCGATTTTAAGACATTTCTAAACCCACTATAGTTATAGGGGATCTCGGATTCTAAAGTCCGCGCAGATGAACTCGCGGCCAAACTCCAAAATTTCCAGATACACTCATGGTCACATAACTTGTACCTTACAACATTTGTCATTGTAAGAAAATGTTTATTGCGTGTGTGTGACAAAAGAGTGATAAGTATTAATACACTTTTATTATAATATTGTATTCTATTTATCGTATTAATTTTTTTTATTTATTTTATTTAATGCAAGACCCACTTGTTACTTTAAAATGTTGTAAGACGCAAAATCCCAACACCACCTTTTGCATCGAAACGAATCCGAAGTGAAGTCAGTCAGAAGTGAGAGTCAATTATAAAGTGAGAATCTATTGATTGATGCGAATGATCCGTAACGTGTGAAATTAAATTAAGCACACCCTTTTAACTCGTAACAGTATACTATAATTTAATTAATGAGCACAGAAGCATGAACACAGGAAAATTACTTAATAAGATCTGTTGTTCGCGAAATTGTCTGCATATAATGTACAAACTTACAAAAGTAGTTTTATATAAAAAATAGTAAATATTAAAATATTAAGTTGCATGCCAAATCTCTTACTGCATTCTCACCTTTTCATGTATAAAAAATGCCTTAGACCTTCTTCAAATATTTAGTACATACATTAGTTAATAAAATATTTAAATGTAAATCATAAAGAAGTATTTAAATCTTCAATTTTTTGGTGTCTCAATTTTAAGCCAGTCCTTGTAGTATGAGTACCACAATATACATTAAATCACGATTTTTATCACGTCTAACTGTCAAACTCCATATTAATTTGACAATTGAGCGTGATGAAAACGAAATATACCTATATGATATCGCGGTGTTCATGCTAGGGAAGCTGGGATGGGCAAAGTTTATCCTTATTGTGCTGCAGAATCTTCCGCGGGCTAAACTTTTGCTCAGGCCACTTACAATGCGAACCCGCTCCCCCGCGGAATTTGTACATTTTTTTTATAAATACGTCCGACAAATGACTCCACCCCACCTGATGTTAAGTGAAGGTGAAGTCCAGACGCGAAGATAGCAGCAGTTCTACCTACCACACCAGCCATCCTTCCAGCCTGCATGTTGCTTCTTCACGCCTCTTTTAAAGGATCCCAGGTTGTAAGAGGGAGGGAACACGTGAGCGGGGAGAGCATTCCATTTCTATTTTCTACATTAAAACAAATTAAAATATAGCTTATGATGGATAGTTTGCCCATCCTTGTTTAAAGCAGTCGACAACAAAGAACGCAGTTATTCTTCGTGTAGGTAGTGTTTTTTGTTGTTTCTTTTGATGTACGATCGAACCCACAGATTCCTGACCCACTTGCCAAACAAATTCGCTTAAAAATGTAAAAACAGACAAGTTTTCCTTTGTAGAGAATGCGTAATTGCGTCTAAGTGTGTCTAAGTGAAATTAAAAAAGCATGCTCTTTGCCTTCCATAAAATGCACAATTTGTAGGGCTTCCCAACACCGATAATAATTTATAGCTAAAAAAGTCGATGAAATATGGGTGTGTTATCTATGTCTATGTATCGATATCCAAAGTAAAGGTGTACAGGGCAGAACTATCAACTGGCAGTTTAAAAAGAAACACTAACGGACGGCCGTTCTTTAGGCTGATCCCATCTATCTGTCTTTAGACATAATCTGAGGAATCAGTGATTAGGACAGGCGAAGGCGATTGAGCCATACTGCCAGGTCTTCGGTTTTCATTATTTCTATTCTATGTCTGTCTTCTAAAGTTACAGTTTTCCAAGGGTTACAGTTAATAAAATTAATGTATACAGGGATGAAATTTTCTGGGCATGATAAAATGTCTTGCAGACACGGCAGGGTAGTCTTATATTTTCCAAATATCGGTCTATTAATACTAAGCATTGTAGGTTGAATGCAGGACATGTGAAGAAAATGTGTTCCAAAGTTTGATCCTCTTGTAATGAACATTCGGTGCATAATAATGGGGACGTTTTGATCCGCAAACGATGCATGTGAGCTTCGAAACTACAATGTCCAAATCGTAATCTATTTATTTGAGTATGGAATCTTCTTAGAGATGACAAACCATGGTTTTCGGTCTATTTCTTTATTAGTGATGGCATACCAAGCCCCTTTTGATTGGCAAAAACTCCAAATAATTTAATGCCTACATTATGTCACAGGAAGGCGGCAAAATCTGTCATGTTAAATATGATTGTTCGGAAAATAAAGTTTGTTAGCAGGGATACTAAAAATCTACGTTATTGTTTTGAAATGGTTGTAACAAAAC